CAGGGCTTATAGTTTTAAATCGAGACCTCTAATTTCCAGCTTCAGCCATTTCCAGCTTCAGCCGCGACAATAATTATTATTTTGGCAATTTGTCTGTCGAAATTAATTTTTATTAGCGGCAAAATTAATTTTCATAGTTGTCGAAACTATTAGTAATTCTTTACATTAAATAGTATAATTATTTTGTGCAATTCGTACAGTATAAAGACACTCCACGTATAGCCGTGATCATTCCTATATATTACATTATCTAGATATAATTAACATTAATAATTTTTGTATAATTTAGCGTGCCCAAGCGCATGTCTTGATTGTTCCTTAGCAAATGGTCCGAATGGCAAAGTACAATGTAACAGCTGTCTTCCAGGATTTGTACTTGATAATGGTAATTGTGTTAAGACTTGTTCCCCTGGAAAAGTTGTTAATCCAAAAGATAATTTAAATTGCATAGGTAACGATATTAATTTTTTTTTTGATGTCCGAATACATAAAATCTTCTTTTGACATTAGCATTAATTTGTAATGATTATTTTATTTTATTTTATTTTTTAATATAGCATGTGATAGTTCTTGTTCAACTTGCAGTGGACCTTCAGCATCAGAATGTCTAACATGTTCAAATACAAATCAATTTGCGTTGAATGGAGTCTGTTCATCAACAAAATGTCCATCATCATATTTCACCAAAGGTACATCCTGCATTAAATGTCATCCTGACTGTGCAGAGTGTTCCGGTTCAGATTTTAATCAATGCACAAAATGTCCATCAACTCGTCCAATATTAACATCTGGAGGTCAATGTGTTGAAAGTTGCCCGGCTGGTAGTTATACTGATAGTACAGGAACATGTAAAACATGTAATTCTGATTGTTTTTCATGTGTTGGACCACGTTCTGATCAATGTCTTGGATGTGCCGATCGATCAAAAGTTTTGATAAATGGTACTTGTAGTGGAACATGTCCAACTGGTAGTAAAATGATAGAAGCTGAAAGATTATGTTATAATCTACAAACCAATACTATCGTTACACCTGAACCAATCTCTAATCCGAATGCAACACGTTCATCTCAACTTGATTGGTGGAAAATTTTATTAATAATTATTTCAATAATAATATTTTTAATATTGATTGCTTTATTTATTCGATGTATTGCCGTAAAGAAACGTGTAGCAAAAACAAATGAATTTAGAGAGAATTTAGATGAAAATAATGTGATCAAAAATATGAGAAATCTTCAAAATTCTCTAAATTCTCAGAATTTACCTAATTTACCTGAAATGGTATTTTCAGAAACTACTGTGAGAATTTTTGATAATGTACCTCCTCCGCCTGAATATGATATTAAAGCAGGAAAATTATATTGGAAGAGAATGAATAAAAAGAACAATAGTGATTTATCTAGTGAAGATTATGCAAAGTGGAAATTAGCTGAAAAAAGTAGGAGTCGTCGTAATGATGATTGGGATGGATTTGTGATGGCAGTTCCTGGTGGATATTCAGCTCCTAATGGTGGTAGTGAATGTGATAAATATGTTTATTATAATAATCAACATGATGTAGAAAGGGTGGATTATAGAGATAGTCAAGGTTCTGTCAGATCAAATCTTAATGATTTAAGCCGACAAAATACATTACCCGCGAAAAGAGGATCAAATTGGGGTGAAAATTGGGTTTAGGGTATAATTATGAAAAAAAAATTTTTTATATTAATTTATTATTCAAATATTACGGCCAATTTTTTCTATCTTTTCTTTTTTTTAAAAAAAAAAACAACGTTTTTTATTTTATGGCTATTAATTTTTATAATAGGAATCTAATTTGTATTTTTTTCAGGGTAATACATGTATTTTTATTAATAAACAAAAAAAAAACTTTAGTATTTCAAGTGTTGTCTAACTTTCCATCAAATACTGTAGCAATTTTATTGCTAATATTTTATCTCATATGGGCCAATTTATATACTTGCTAATAACTTTTGATCTACTGATCCATAGTTATTAGCAAGTATATAAATTGGCCCATATGTTCGTAAATGATATATATAAATAGGCAATTTCTATTTGTACACGGGTGTATATACACGGGCAATATAGAACCCAACCGATATCTCAAAATTTTGATTATGAAATCACCTTTTGGCTTCTAATAAAAAAAAATTCCTTGCGAAATTTTGGTATAAACTATACCTCGCCCCAATCCCAAACCAACCCTTACCTTAACCATAAGCAAGGATTTAATTTTTCGTTCGTAAAATTTGTATGTTACACAATTTGCAAACTACGGTGTATATACACCAGTGTAAATTAAGAAATTTCATATAAATAATGCATTACGCGAAAGAATAACAATAAAAAACAAAAAAAGGTTAAAGTTTTTTTTTTATTAAATAGTACATATTTGCTTTTCACAACGCGTATAATTATACAAGGTAACTGCTAAAAGAACTAAGAAATATAGATTTGCTTTTTGCTTATATTGCTACACCAGTTTCTCAGAGATACGCAGTACTAAAAATAAAACCGTTAAATATATGTTAAATATATGTAATTTGCTAATACTTTTTATTATCGTGTAATACGTAGCAATTTCAGTATCCCTTAGTTTGTATTTATACCTTTTAGGGCTTTATAATTTATCGCTATAGCGATGTATCGCCACCCAGGTCTAAGTCAAATCAAAATCCCGAAAATCAAAATCCCGAATCTTAAATGTCGCGCCGCGTGATGTAGGGGTTTCAATATTGGATAGATTAGCGGAGAAACAAAAATTCAGCAGATCGGCCCGAATTATGGCATCGGCATTGATTAATTTTGCCCAAGATCACTTAAAATTTTACTAATGAAACCATA